TGACCAGTATGTGCCACAGTGCGACGTGGAGGGCAACTTCACCCCGCTGCAGTGCCATGGGGACAGCGGGTACTGCTGGTGCGTGGACGAGAGCGGCAGGGAGATCCAGGGCACGCGCTCGGAGCCTGGCAGCACCCCGCCATGTAAGAGCTGAGCACCCCAAACATGACCCCCCCCCCCGACTTAGCAGAGCACGGGCTCTCAGTGCTGCACCCCGTTCCTGCTCAGGTACCGAGCCATGGGGCCAATGCTCTTTCTCCCTGTCCCCCCCTGTTTATGTGCCAGGTCTCCCCAGTGTCGCACCGCCCAGTGTCCGGCCCTCGCCCCGGCCGGATGTGTCCCCACCAGCCACAGGGACGTTTCTGCTCTACGCTCAGGGACAGCAAATTGGCTACCTCCCGCTCAACGGCACGCACCTGCAGAAGGAGGCGGCGAAGACCCTGCTCTCCCTGCACGTACAGTATCTCCAGCATTGGGTCTGGGGTGCAGGACCACTGGAGGGAGTTAGGAACAGGCTGATGTGTTTCACATCTCTCTGGACCACTTCTGTCTGCACTCTGATGGTCTGAGGCTGATTGAAGGTTGATGTTGGTTTGTGGGACATTGGTTGTGCTGGCTGCTGTGGCACTGGGAGGGAGTAGGAGTGCTCTCACCTCTTCCTCCAGCCATCCCTGAGCAGACGGACAGGTCACAGATGTGGGGTGCCTGCACAGGGAAGGAGCATGGGTGCTTGCAGAGGTCCCTTGGCCTTTGGTCACCGGCCCCAGGCTTCCATCCTGCACGTCTCTACTGCAAAGTTGCCTTTTCCCTTCCTTGGACTCCTCTTGGAGCATGGCCATGTGCATCTCCATCCAAGCCAGACTGAGGGAGAGGAATGCTGGAAGCTGGGCCATGACCCTCCCTGCACCCTGGGGAACTGAAACACCTCGCCAAGCATTCCCTTTCCCCATCCTAAAGGTCATTCCTTGGGCTGGCTTCACTGTTGGAGCAGTCTCTCCCTGAGCCAAAGGGTTTCAAACCCATTTGGATGTGGGTATGTGCCTGCCACAGCTGGCCTAAAAACCTCTGCTGCAGCATTCAGCTGGGGGGTGTGCAGTAGGAGCTCATGAGTGGTGGGTTTGCCAGGGAAAAGGGATCTGAAGTGTCATTCCCTATTGCTCCATCTCACAGTGCACTGGGCAGCTCTCAGTGCTGGCTGGTGGGATAAGGATGAGGCTCTTGGCTGTGGTCCAGGCAGGATTTCACTGTGTGTCCCTCTCCCAACCCTGGCAGGGCTCCATCGTGGTGGGGATCGACTATGACTGCCGGGAGAAGACTATCTATTGGACCGATGTGGCCGGACGGACCATAAGCCGGGCAAGTCTGGAGCCAGGTGCTGAACCAGAGACCATCATCAACTCAGGTGTGCTCCCATCACCCAAACCTGCCCAAAGCCACAGCAGAGGGCTCATGCCTGCCTGTGCCCATCACAGGTTTGGGGTTCCCCACTGCGCCCTCACATCCTTTAGCTTTGGGTCAGGACGCTGTGACGGGTCCAGGAGCAGCTCTGACCATGCCCATCCCTCTGGCAGGACTCATCAGCCCCGAGGGGCTGGCAGTGGACCACCTGCGCCGAGCCATGTTCTGGACTGACAGCGGCCTGGATAAGATCGAGAGAGCCCGGCTGGATGGCTCTGAGCGGCGAGTGCTCTTCGACACAGACCTCGTCAATCCCCGGGCCATCGCAGTGGACCCTGTCCGAGGGTGAGCAGCAGCGCGGATTTGCACACAGGGCTTTGCAAGGTGTAAGAGCTGGACACTCGGTGGGGTGCCAAGGACCCATCCTACATTGCACACCCACAGGAGGGACTGGCTCTGTTCCCCACCCCCTCTTTCACTGAATAATTCAGGATCTGGCTAAACCTGCTGTTTCAGCATCAGGATGTGCATTATTTGTGAACGCTTTGAAACACGCCTGGTGTTCGAAAACACAAGCTGTGCCTCTAGGGTGCTGTAGTGATACAAACTGTGCTACTCCTAAGACTTGCCCTCATGTAGGAGCCACAGTTTGCGCCGTAAACATGTTTGACATTATTCTGGTTTTCTGTTAGAGATTTTTTTCAAATCAAATAAAGATTTCAGGCACTGTTAAGGGGAAAACCTGGCCTCTCTTCAAGAGAGCCAGTAACAAAGAGAAAGCTCCTCATCTCCTACAACTCCTTTTGTGTATCTGATTGTTCATGATGTACTTTTTTTCCCAAGCAACCTTTACTGGACGGACTGGAATCGTGAGGCACCCAAAATTGAAACATCCACTGTCAATGGAGCCAACAGGAGGGTCCTGGTGAATAAGGACATTGGCCTGCCCAACGGCCTGACCTTCGACCCCTTCTCCAAGCTGCTCTGTTGGGCAGATGCAGGTAACTTCTTCACCCAGGATGGATCAGACCAAGACATATCAAACCTCGAGGGGAAATCCAGCTATGTATAAATGCAAGTAAGGGTAGGACAAGGAGGAATGGCTTTAAACTAAAAGAGGGGAGATTTAGGTTAGATATTAGAAGAAGTTCTTCCCTGTAAGGGTGGTGAGGCACTGGCACAGGTTGCCCAGAGAAGCTGTGGCTGCTCCATCCCTGGCAGTGTTCAAGGCCAGGTTGGACAGAGCTTGGAGCAACCTGGTCTAGTGGAAGGTGACCCTGCCTGTGAAAGAGGGTTGGAACTGGATGGTCTTTAAGGTCCCTTCCAACCCAAACCGTTCTGTAATTCTGTGTATGTCTTACGTCTTCAGCCTATTGCTACCTGTGGGCTTCTCTGCACCCTTCCACTGTCCTGCCCCAAACTGCCCCTGTGTAACGGGGTCAGTGGGGCTCACAGCATAAGCTGCTTCTACACCCTTAGGCTGAAAAGCTGTTTCAAAATTCAGTGAATACAAAGAACATGCTTGGTGGGGTTATTTTTGTGGCCTAGTAACTGTCCTGTGTTTGAAAAGGAACAAAGCATCTGGAGTGCACATTCCCTGATGGCACGGGTCGGCGTGTCATACAGAACAACCTCAACTACCCCTTCAGCATCATCAGTTACGCCAATCACTTCTACCATACGGACTGGAGACGGTAAGGAAAGAAAACCCCCTCCCTCCCACAGCTGGCAATGCTGAGGAGAATTTCCTAGGGCTCTGCTCCCCGAAGTGGCCAGGAGCCAGGTTCCATACTCCCTGTGGAGCTGTGCTAGTGAGCAGCTTGGAGGGCCTTTGAGCCAGAGTGGGGGGAAATGAAACATATCCCCAGCTTGCTCCCTGGTCCCCAAGTCCTGGAACCTCACCAGAGCACACTCAGTGTCTCCTGCAGTGCCGCGTTCATCAACACCCGCTTGTAAATCTCAGTGCAGAAGTTGTTTAGGAGCAACCCCAGCTTCCCAGGAGGGACAGAAATAGTGGTTGGGTTTGTTGTTGTTTTTAACTAAAGCTTGGCACATTTCTGAATCCAGATTAAGTCAAAGAAAATATTCTGTCCTCAGTTGTTCCCTTCCCCCCCACCACCCAAGGCCTTCAGCATCAGGAACTCGCCTCTATTCCCACTCCAGCTGGAAGCTCTCAAAACTTCGATCCAACCATAGCAATTACAACAAACGCTTAAGTGCTTGTCATGCTTGCAGGAGACTCTTCAGGGAGATAATCTCTCCTTGGAAGGCCATCTGTGTGACTGGATCACCAAAAAGAGACACTGAACAAAGTAGATGTAGATTTTATGGGGGAAATTAATTTCCCCTTGTTCTGCAAGTGTTCAGACCAATCTTTTGAGCTGCCTCTGTTCCTAAATGTATATAGATGGGGGGAAAAAAACCAAGTTTCATAGGTGAGTAAAGCACTTCTCCCCCTTATCACCAGGGATGGTGTGATAGCTGTTGATAAGGAAACTGGCTCCTTTACTGATGAGTATCTTCCAGAGCAGCGATCACATCTCTATGGAATAACTGCAGTTTATCCCTACTGCCCTGGAGGTAAAACCTACCACAAAACCCACCCACCCTTGATTGTCTAACAAACAGCTGCTGTGTGCTTGATGTGCTAAAGATACCCATTTCTCTCTGCAGCCAGGAAATAGTAACTGCTATTTCGAGAAACAACCATCTTTGCACCCAAAAGAACTTCAGACCCAGAAAACTGTCACTGCACACAACTAAGAGGGGAGAAACCCTTAACGAAGGCCAATGAAGCAAGCTACTTTTCTACAAAAGATTACTTAGTATTGTTTGAAGTGATACCTCAAGTCTTTACTACTGTATTTTTTTAAGTGGAAAACATCAATATATTACCAAAAAAAATAAAAATGGTCCTGTGGATCTTAGGCAAGCAAACTTAAAATGTAGTTTCTTATTCAAATGATTAATTTTATTAGACAAAGAATGGATTCATTTTTGACAATCTGACCAACAGTCCTTTAAGCCAAAAAAATAAGGGCCTACAGGGAGCTTTGGATGCAGTATTTGCTGGGTCTAAGTAATGTACAGCCCTGAAGATAGAGACCATGTGTGCTCCAACAGTGTGCAGAACAGTTACGTGATGTGGCAAAGGCATTGAAGATTTTCCAGAAGACAACTCTTGCGTTTTCACCACTGCCTCAATGCATGTCTTTTAGTATTTATATTAGAAGAATATGCTAGAATTGGTCTGTTCATGCTTGTTGGTTCTTCTAAGTGCCTTCATAGACCTACCCAATGTAGACCGATACATGTTCAGAAATACCATTTACAATGTAATGCTTCACTTTTTCTAGGTTACTACAATAATTGAATAAAATGGTTGGTTTAAGTTTCCCTTTGGATTTAGTTTTTAAGTATTTCAGTTGTAGGGTAGAGAGTGGAGAAGCAGCAAGCAAGCCAGGGGCAAGCTGTTCATATGGCAGGACCTCAACAAAAGAGGAATCTGCAGAGACTTAGTGTAACACTCCCATCTCAACACAAAGCCAAACACAATGAAAAAGAAAAAGGCTCATTTGCCAACTCAGAGCTATTCAGAACAATTTGTCTATTTTCCCCAAGTTCATTTATTTAAAGAAAAATGATAATTCCTTAGAAGTCAGAATTCCATTTCCTGTTTTCTTTCAAAACAATAAAATAATACCATTTCAAACTGCATGCCAGGGTTGTACAGAGCTGTATGTAGTTCCTAATTGTACTAAGTACACAAGAGACTAAAAGCTTTTCTCTGTTCATCTCCCGACTTTCCCCAGTCTGTGGTCCGTCTTCGGATCAGCAATAATCGCCTGAACTGCTACAATCGCTTCATTAATTTTTGTTTGCAGCTCTCGGAGCTCTTCTATATGCAGCAGTCGGAGAATCTGAGCAGCTTCATTGAGAACAGCATCTGGGTGAGTCGCAGAAAGAGAAGTCATATCAAGCATTTTCATCTGACATGAAGGACTTAAGTAACGCTTAGTCAAAGTTAACGCTCTGCACTTTGTTCATGCTTGTAGTTTTCATACTTGAAATAGGAAGCAACTTTCCCTGCTGCTAGAGAGAGACCGGGTGCTCTGCAAAGCCTTGCTCAGCACCCTGTAGCCCTCGCCACAGCCAAGTTCAGTCAGTATGAAACAATTCGAGTAGTAATTTAGGCGTACACGAGGCAAAAATGAAGCCAACCTAGAGGCGTTCCAGGTCATCTGGATATTGCTTACAAAATAACCTATCAGGTCATACCAACTTGTACTGTTTAGGATTAGATTTGAGGTAAATTATGGAACTAAACCACGGGGAAGCAGCACAGGGGTCCTCTACTGGTAGAAACACGATTTACACCAGTAGTGAGATGCATTCCTCCCACTTGCAAACGTGGCTGCCATTACAAGCTGTTATTTAAACATTACTCTGAAACAACATATTCCACAGTTAAAGATTTATGCTTTTCTGTTCCAAAACAAAATGCTCAAGGGTGCTCGTAAATAACAATCTGTGAGGGAACAATTCTTTCCACTACAGGGTTTTTTACTGTACACATTAGCTACATCTTTGACAGCAATATACTTTGTCAAAGGCAAACATCAGTCTTTAGAAGTAACATGACGAGACTACTTAGAAGTAACATTAAGAGAATTGCTTACCTCCTGTGTCAAAACCAAGAATGTGTTTCTCTAAAGCAACAGGCAAACCCTTCAAAAAGAAAAAGCATATTCAAGTACAATTAGAAACGTCATGCTGCATATTTGGAAAATAAAATCAAGTACTACAGTGGGTAGCTCTGGAGGCCACTTGAGTTTTGCTTATATAGATGTGTGTGACAACTTTGAGAAGTCATCGTGCTTGATTACACACAAGTGCTTTCGTGTCCCGAAACATCAAACCCAGAGTATTTGTAAAGAAAAATCTTCATGCTTAATAATGCCCCGACTCGTCAAACAAACCCCATTGGATACAAGCTGCCCACATTCAATCCTTAAAAGGCCAACAGCAGTACTGTGAGAGAACACCCAATCCAGCAACATCGCTACCCAGACAAACAAAAAGCATGCACAAACCAGACTTTCTGAGGAACTAGTGCCTTCAAACAGCTGCCAGCTTTCAAAGCACTGCCTGATTTGAAAGAACTGTAAAAATACTCCGTAATCAAGTGAGTTTCTCAAGCAGTGAACTTGCAACCTCTATCAACATCCCCAGAAGCATTTTCTCAAGTGTTAAGCTTAGGAATAAAGCTAAATGTTCCATTTTCTAAACACTTGCTTTATTAAGACAGTACAAGGAAAAGTTTCATTAGTGGTCATTTCCAAGTACTGCTCTCTTTCACTCTCTCCAGCTGGAGAGGAGCAGTCATGCTAAACAATCACTCACCATGTTGCAACATGCACATCAAACTAGAGTTCAACAATGCAAGCCTTACAATCTGCTTTTACTACCTCTGTAACTTTTATTTCCAACATTTGTCTCTGAGCATTTGCCAAATGTCTTGCATTTGGCACAACAAAACATTCAATACTATTAGTTTCTACAATGATGAGGTTCTAAATGTTCTAAACAGTGAGGATTTATTTTAAAGGCTTTATAGACATGTAAAAAAAAAAAATCTGAGCTGATCAAACACACACTAAATACAAAATAGTGACCATAAGTCATTGGAGTTACTCCATTTTCAAAGAGTGGTTCTTTTTCATGGCTTCTTCAATAAAATGGATGTTCAACTGCTATCTTAAAATCTAACCCACTTGTTGATAAGAACACCACTAATCACAGTATGCTGGAGATTGGAAGGGACCTCAAAAGATCATCTAGTCCAATCCCCCTGCCAGAGCAGGAACACCTAGATAACGTTACACAGGAATGTGTCCAGGCGGGCTTTGAATGTCTCCAGGGAAGGAGACTCCACAACCTCCCTGGGCAGCCTGTTCCAGTGTTCCGTCACCCTCACTGAGAAGAAGTTCCTTCTCAAGTTTAAGTGGAACCTCTTGTGTTCCAGTTTGTACTCATTACCCCTTGTCCTATCATTGTTTGCCACTGAGTAGAGCCTGGCTCCATCCTCGTGACACTCCCCCTTTATATATTTATAGACACTTATAAGGTCACCCCTCAGTCTCCTCTTCTCTAAACTATAAAGACCCAGCTCCCTCAGTCTTTCCTCATAAGGGAGATGCTCCACTCCCTTAATCATCTTGGTTGCCCTGCGCTGGACTCTCTCCAGCAGCTCCCTGTCCTTCTTGAACTGAGGGGCCCAGAACTGGACACAATATTCCAGATGGGGTCTCACCAGGGCAGAGTAGAGGGGAAGGAGGACCTCTCTCGACCTACTAACCACCGCCCTTCTAATACATCCCAGGATGCCATTGGCCTTCTTAGCCACAAGGGCACAGTGTTGGCTCATGGTCATCCTGTCGTCCACTAGGACCCCCAGGTCCCTCTCCCCTACACTGCTCTCTAGCAGGTCGTTCCCCAACCTATACTGGACCCTGGGGTTGTTCCTGCCCAGATGCAGGACTCTACACTTTCCCTTGTTATATTTCATCCCGTTATTCCCTGCCCAGCTCTCCAGCCTGTCCAGGTCTCGCTGGATGGCAGCACAGCCTTCTGGCGTGTCAGCCACTCCTCCCAGCTTAGTGTCATCAGCAAACTTGCTGATAGTACACTCAATTCCCTCATCTAAATCATTGATGAATATATTAAATAATACCGGTCCCAGTACTGACCCTTGAGGCACTCCACTAGTTACAGGCCTCCAACTAGACTCAGCCCCATAGACTACAACTCTCTGGCTTCTCTCCTTCAGCCAGTTCGCAGTCCACCTCACTACCTGGTCATCCAGTCCACACTTCCTCAATTTAGCCGTGAGGATGCTGTGGGAGACTGTGTCAAAGGCTTTGCTGAAGTCAAGGTAGACCACATCCACCGCTCTGCCATCATCCATCCACCGTGTTATTTCCTCATAAAAGGCTAAGAGATTGGTCAAACATGATTTCCCCTTGGTGAAGCCATGTTGACTGCCCCTCATAACCCTCTTATCCTTGATATGCCTTAAGATGGCACCAAGGATAAGGTGTTCCATCACTTTCCCAGGGATGGAGGTGAGGCTGACCGGTCTATAGTTACCCGGGTCCTCCTTCTTGCCCTTTTTGAAGACCGGAGTGACATTTGCCTTCCTCCAGTCCTCAGGCACCTCTCCCGTTTCCCAGGACTTGGTAAAGATGATGGAGAGTGGTCTAGCAATGACTTCCGCCAGTTCCCTCAGCACCCGCGGGTGCATCCCATCTGGACCCATGGATTTATGGACGTCCAGATTGCTCAACTGATCTCTAACCCATTCCTCATCGACTAAGGCAAACCGCTCCGTCGACCTGACTTCATCTAAGGTCTCAGGGGTATAGGGCTCTTCAGGACTGCCTGCAGCAGAGTAGACAGAGACAAAGAAGGCATTCAGTAACTCTGCCATCTCTGCATCTTCTGTCACCAGGGCACCCATCCCGTTCATCAGTGGGCCTACATTGCCTCTGGTGTTAGTTTTGTCTGCCATGTACTTGAAAAAGCTCTTTTTGCTGTCCTTGACCCTTCTTGCCAGGTTTAATTCTAAGGAAGCCTTAGTCCTCCTAGCTGCCTTCCTACATCCCCTAGCAGCAGCCTTATATTCCTCCCAAGTGGCCAGCCCCTCCTTCCATGACCTGTAAACTCTCCTCTTCCACTTGAGCATACCCAGCAATTCCCTATTTAGCCACACAGGTCTCTTGGCCCTCTTCCTTGACTTCCTAGAAGAAGTTTGAGAACTTCCCAGAACAGTTTGAGTTGAAGGGACCTTAAAGCTCATCCAGTTCCAACCCCCTGCCACAGGCAGGGACACGTTCCACTAAACCAGGTTGCTCCAAACCCCATCCAACCTGGCCTTGAACACTGCCAGGGATTGGGCAGCCACAGCTTCTCTGAGCAGCCTGTGCCACCCTCACAGGGAGGAACTTCTTCCTTATAGCAAATCTAAATCTTCCCTCTGCCAGCTTAAAGCCATTGCCCCTTGTCCTGTCCCTACATGCCTCTGTCAAAATCCCCTCCCCAGATTTCTTGTTTGCCCCTTTAGGCACTGGAAGCTGCTCTAAGGTCTCTCCAGAGCCTTCTCTTCTCCAGGCTGAACAAGCCCAACTCTCTTAGCCTGTCAACATAGCAGAGGTGCTCCAGCCCTCAGAGCATCTTCGTGGCCTCTGGATTCACAATTTCGGACAGATTCTTACAATATCAGACTTCATACATAAATGTTTCAAGAAGATAATTTTAAACATAGGGCTGCAAATTGCTCCTTGCCACCCTGGTGTGTTCTCAAAGCCACACAAGCAGCAAAGGATTGATTCAGTCAGTTCTTTGTGGACAAATTACCCAGGGCCACTACAGGTACCTCCAACACAGAGTGACCACAGTGCCACCTTCAGAGGTGGTCTTTTGAGGCATCCTTAGATTGAGAAATGAAGATCACCTTTAAATCTGTAACTACACAGACTGCTTAATTTCACAGCCACATTCCCCAAACATTTAATTTAAAAATGCTGCACAAAACACTTGCAATGGGCAAACACCTGCCCGGTAACTGGAAGCGTCAACAGTAAAACTAGATTCTCTGAGGTGGCTTCCAGATTTCAGAGTTGGGGGGAGAAATTATCCACTTAGTTGTGTTTTCAAATATGCCCCAGGTATAGCCTTTGGGCGCATCCTTACAGTGATCCCGAAGGACATTTTTGTACTTGATACTACCTATGATACAGTACAAGCCTGCCAGTATAAATCTGAATCCTATCTAGACATGATAGTACATTGAATTACCAGCCATTCAAAATGTAATCTAAAAAAGGCCAAAAACCCCCAAACCAAAAAACAAAGCCCCAACCACATGTGTTATGTCTTATCTTGAAATAAGTACCTTGACAACCAAACAAGCTAAATCTCATTTTACTTGGTGCATTTAAGCCACAAGCACAGCAGTTTAAGTTTCCTCACCAGAGTCCCCATATATATCCTTCAATCAGAGAACATTTTTCTCAGTCTATTTTTTCTTTTCCCCGCTCTATCTTGATATTGCCAGGCATGCTACTCATGACATTTTGTATATAAAGCCGTCTGCCATGCTGCAGTCAGACATTTATCACCTGCTTCCAGGGGCAAGGCTTAATATACAAAGCGTCACTGGCTAGTATTTTGGCATTAACAAGCCAGCCAAAACCAGAAGAAGAGGTTTATTTTTCCTCTCCTTTTATCCTGCAACCCAGCTATTCCCTCTGGTTTTAAGCAATTTTCTTCATTCATCTGCTACATTACAATGTTGATGATTGCTGCTGGCACACAAAGCTGTTTTCCCACCTTCAATCCCCTGCCTCTTCTCCACCTCACTTGAAATTTAGCATTTCTAATGAGAATAAACTCCCAGTGTCACGTACCACAGTGACATATCAACCTAAGCCCTGACGATGCTCTGAACACCGATCGAATATGAACAATTCTTTGTCAAGAAAAGAATTCAATATTCCGCAAAGCAGCTAGCTTGGCCAAACACAGAAAATCCCATTCTGATCCCTGCATGTCAGCTGTGCAGCTATGTAAACAGCAAATAAAAGCGGCTTTTTATTTTTTTATTAACATTTGTTATCAAACATAAAATGAACACAGCGATCTCAGCTGCTTTCATATTTTCCTGCTCGTTTAACAGTTCTATGGGTATATAAAACCAAAGCTTTGATGTTCCAATGCTTCTGGAAATCACTGCAGCACTACAACTTAGAGCACCTGGGATTGCTACTTAGTACATAAGCAATATTATGGCAATAAATAAAGCATGAACTGTTCTGAGCAGCTGCTAGAAAAGATAACGGGATCTGCGCTCTTTGCCCAGACTCAGTTTCTTTAGCAGGGACGCTTCTAAACATACACCTGCACGGCAAGAGAGGCCACCTTCCCTGCTGCACCCAAAAACTAATGCAGCAGCTGCTGTGCCATATATCAGAGGGAAAAGCTGGAAAACTGGGATGTTTAAGAAATGACAGTCTGAAAAACCACAGCCATCACCTAGAACATCCTGCTTGTGGTTAGAAAATAACTCTGCAAAATCTGAGGTTTAAGCGCGGAAGTTTCTTTCCTCACCTCTTTTTGGGGAAGAGTAGGACATGCAACATTCTATCCCTCAAACACACACAAGGTGTACACGAGGCCAAACACTCCACAGAAGGAATGTTTCAACCTGTTTATGCAGCCAGTGCTGCTGATTCTGAGGAAAAGCTGGATCATACATTTGTCTGCATGCTGCCAGCCTGCTACACTGAACAGTAAGGGTAATCCTCTAGCAAGCAGCTAGGCAGGGAACAGCTAGTTACTGATATATCATATCAGTATACCTTTTTGTATTCAACTGAAACAAAAAAAGCTTTGCAAACTACTCTCCATAATCCTCTGGGTCTTTTCGAATCAGGATGCCAAAGATAAAGCAAGGTTCCACCACCATCCTAAACAAAGTGTTTAAACAGAATTGGTTTTGACTGAGATGACAAACATTTATGCTTATACTTCTTCCCTCGATATGGAACAACTGGCACTAGACTCATGCAGTGTATATACGAACCTCCTTGGACTGACTGGCCTTCGCTATGGCGTCCTGCGTCAAACGCTCTTGAACCAAAATGCGAATTGCCTAGGAAAAACATTGAAGGTGAGAGTCCCTTATTTATGTCTTGATGCATTTCTCTGCAGTTCCAAGGGAAACATTATAACCCAGCATCACCTCAAACCCACCATTCTGTGAAAAACTTCTTGGAAAACTCAGACCTTATATGTTTTCAAACAGCACTATACTTTGCAAGTAGTATCTTACACAGATGTCGTTTCTTTGGCTGTGGAAAGGAGCTTAACCAAGAGATAAGGACATCATGCTATTCATTTCAGCCACTGATGGGCCAAAACCTGCAAGGTACTAGGAACAGTCATAAAGCTTGTGTATTTTAGAATGGAGAATAAGAGGCTCAGGGAAGACCTTATTGCTCTCTACAACTATCTGGAAGGAGGTTGTAGTGAGGTGAGGGTTGGTCTCTTCTCACAAGTAACAAGCAATCGGATGAGAGGAAATGGCTTCAAGTTGTGGCAGATAAGGTTTAGGTTGGATATTAGGAAAAATGTCTGCAGCAAAAGGGTTTTTAAGTGCTGAAACAGGCTGCCCAGGGAAGTGGTGGAGTCACCAATCCTGGAGGGATTTAAGAGCTGTAGATGTGGCACTTAGGGACATGGTTTAGTGGTGGACTTGGCAGTGCTGGGTTAATGGTTCAACTTGATGATCTTAACGGTCTTTTCCAACCTCAATGATTCTATGACTACAGAATGAGCTAATCACAGTCCCAAAGCAGCAGCACCATCTTTATTGTTCCAAGAACACACACCTTTAATGCTGCAGCAACATAGCTTCTTCAGGAAGCAAATCCTGCTATCAGCATCTTTTAGTAGGTGCTGAACTATCTTCCACATGAGAGAGAAACCTGGAGCAAGGCTACATACCCAGGTTTTAAAAAAGACTGAGAGCAGAAAGGAATTATTTTTAGACACAGGAACAAGAACAGCCTTGATTTTAACAACCCTGCTGCTCATCTCTTTCTGCTGGCTCCAGTACATAGCATGAAATCGTATTGGAGCTATCAGTTACTGAAACCTACAGCTGTAAATGCCTCTAAAAATAACTGAAGGAATACCATGCAGGCAGACTTCCACCAGAAGAACTGGGTCTGTCAAACACATTCCTCAAACTTTCTCTGATGAGTAGCCAAATGTGACAGAAGCAGTCTTACTGCTTCATGTTTTTCTCCCAAGATTTCTCCTGGTTCTGGTCATGATTAAAGCTGAAATGATACTTCCAGAAATCTTTCTAACTGAAGGGAGTAGCCTGGACAAGAGTGATTTGATGAGGAGTTTAACTTTAAATTCCAGCAGTGAAACCAGACCCTGTGTAAGAATTTTGAGTGCCTTTTGCATTAAAAAAGGATATCCAACTGTGTTACACAGATGCTTTCTGACGAACTTCCCAGATTTAAATTAATAAAATAGGAGTCCAGATAGCTCTTTGCCCACTCTGGTCAAGGTCTGGCAGATCTGTGGCATGCTTGCACCCTCTGGCCTCCCCTAAACATCCACTCCCCAGTGTCCAGGCCTGAACAGGGATCATAAATTCTCTGCAAATGTGCTTACTGTGGTACAAAATTTAAAAGGTTTCGCTGTCACATCCTAATACCATCAAACCCTGAAAACTAGCATTGCTATTGGCCCTGTAACATGAACTGCCATTGCAGAAATCCATTCTCACTGTAATTAAAAGCAAGAAAATTTCAGGCTGGTGATTTTGCTCAGCCACTTCTGTCTGAGAAAAATGAGACTAGAAATGTACCAACAGTGACAAATGCAGACAGCAGAAACCCCATTCTGGTCACTTCAAGCTGCTAGTACCAAATTAGATGGTACTAGATGGTCCTACCCAGATACAGTTTGTTAACCTTGAGACAATCCTGTAAGCCCACCTGAAGGAACTCTGTCTAATAAGGGCTGAGCTCATGCTGCAGATCCTCAATTTCACCATTCACAGGGTCTCTTCTCTCTGATACCCCTTTTCACTGATTTTTGCAGGGGTTTAGGTCTGGAGGTTTTTTGGTAGGGGGTTAATATATGAGGTCTCCACCACTCTTCAAAGACTGATGAAGGGTTCAAAGGCTAGTTTGGGAAAGCGAAGGAGTATACCAGGCTGAAGAGAATGAGAAAGTGATTGATGGGATAACTGCAGGCTGTCATTTCATTAAGAAACCAGGCTAGGGTGGTAACACTATTAAGTATACCTCTTATAGACTTACACACTATATAAACTTCACTGCCGACAGCATTTAGTTCCTTAAAAAAGAATTTAGAAATTATCACAGGTGCTGTAACAAATGGATCTTATTGTTTTTTCAGTGAAATGAGTTTATTTTGGTGCCAAACAAATCTAATTTCCATATTATGGCAGGATCAAGTAGGAACTCAGGACTGCTAGTCTCAGTAAATTCAGTACTTCAAAAAAAGTACAGGTTCGACCCAAAATTTACAGCTAACTATGGAGTTCCACCAGTAAGTTACAAATTTTCTCAGTCATAAAAAAGATGCTTTAGAAAATTAATTAACCTATTAACCACATTTAAAAGCCATGATTAGTTGTCAAATTAAATTCACTTCAGTAATGACAGAGTCAACAGTTCATAGGACAAAAAGAGGAGGAAGAAGCTTTTAACTGTGGTTACTCCCTAGGATGTTCATTTTGAAAAACAGCCTTTCCATCACTCAGCTTCTATGTCTTCAAGTTTCAATTAATTGCTAGCACTAGAATACAATCTTCTCCTTTGAGCATGTTCCTCAACACTTCTGAGGATCATTAAAAACACAAAGAATACTTCAAATCTGGAACAAAAGTTCTCAGTGTTGGAACTCCAGTAACTCAGCTACAAATGAACTGCTTACTAAGATAATTATCCATTAATTCCCATGATTTATGTTGTGTTCTTATATGCTTGAACAGACACATAAAGGATGAGTTTTACTTTCTATTTTTGATTCAAAAGTCATAATTTAACTCTGCACCACAAGCTATTACACATGTATCAGCCACTGGGGAAAAGAAGGAAGAAAGAAGGTATAAAACTGTGAAACTTACCTTAAGCATTATCAAGTAATCATCATGTCGCTGAATTTGAAGGAGATTACCTAAAGCCATCACTCCAGCCTTGAAATCGGGATTATTCACTGTAAAAATGATCATTATTAAAAATATGCGCTAGATTAACTGGCTCCAAAAGGCAGAACTGACTTCCTGACTCCCCGGTATGGGATTGTTCTCAAAGATGGGTAAAGCCATGAATAAACAGCAGTGAGCAACAACTTAGTTTAGCTACAAAGCAATCAAAGTGTGCATCAGGCTTCATAATCATGTTGCAGAACAACATCCAAACACAAGCAGCATTGTTTTCAACACCAAACACGCTGCATATGTTCTAGTGTACAATAACCTGGTGTTAAGTCTTTGAAAATAAAGCAAATTATACAAATATTAAATTGTGGAACCAAGTAACTCTCAAAACACTGTTCACAGAGAGGCAGTTTCAGCCAGCAGTCAAAGAACATATAAACTCTGCATTCCTAAAGCTTTAAATGAGGCTTTAAAGAAATGTATCTATCAAAGTATTAGAAGAGCTTAAAGTCTGAAGAACACCACATAGGCCATGGAACACATTCCCACATGATGTACCCATACAGTAGGTTGCTGCACACTTACCATCCAAGTTAATCAGCGGTTCTGCAGTTTTTGCTGTATTATCAGTATTTTTTGCACCATCTGGGGTAGAATCCTTATACTTATCAGCTGTTAAATTAAGAAGCAAACATGAGCACCATTAGAACTAATGACAAAAATAACTAGTTATAAGTTTAGTACCAAGCTGTAGTTTGCTACAGCTGTATTTTTGAGGTGTGGTAATTGTCCAGGAGCCTTCTGGGCTCATACACTGACATTCTGGAGTTCCCTATTAATATGTCCAAAGGCTGCCATTCTAATGAGCTACCCCAACAGCTCCCATCTGCAGAAAGCTTGTGTGCTATCCAAGAGCAGCAGTAAAGCAGGCTCCACACTTATGCAGGACATCCTGCTCTTGATTAAGGGTCTTCCTACAGTCTTCATCACAAAAGGCAGAACAAGCTGCACTGACAGTTCTACCACTTCAAAAATCCATCATTCCAACTAGCATTGGCCCTCTGCCTCAATCAGCAGTGTATGGAGGGCTCAAGAGCTACAGACTGAAGCTGGTTCTCACCAGTGAGTACAGCATTTCCAGTGAAGGCATTGTTTTACAGACTGCAGCATTCATCTACAACCCACACAGGGGTTTTCCAAGACCTCCTGGCTCCTCCATCTTTACGTAACCCTGAGTCACAGGCAGCTCGCTTTCTCCATCAATGAAGGAATGAGAAACAGTTCTACAGATTGCAGGTATTTAAATCCCACCCCTGTCCTAAGCAGAGCTCAGCCCTGTCCAAGGAATTAAAGGTAATGGAAAGCAGTACTTTGGCTGTTATTATGTTTGCCACCAGTAATTACATTTTTATCTGCACTCTCACTATAAGGAAATGAGCTGCTTCTGACTGTTGAGATTTAACTCAATCTCTTCATAACCTTGCCTTACTTCCCAAGGGTTCTGCATCTACTCACTGTAAAACAAGGCTCTAAGAATAACTTATTTGAATAAATGTAGTACTACAGAAAATCCATTTAATACACTTTAGAGTAAGCTCTCATAAAGGCAATCCCATAAGAAGGGTATAAATATATACAATGGGTTTTGCTATATCCAGAAATAAAGTATTAAATGCAAGTACACTACTGCCCTGTCCCACAGGAGCAGCAGTTCACATCTGAACATGGTGCAAAACCAAGCAGATGAAATCGTATTTTCTTTTAAGAAAATAACATACTTTTGACATTGTGTTAATCTGACAAATACTTCCCAAAATTGAACAGAAAAATCCCGCTTCTCTATCATTTTGAAGTATTAAATTCACTCATACCATTATCTCCATACTCGAGCCTAACTGCTAAGCCGAGCAGCCAGTCCACTGTTTCTTGTCGCTCTTGTATTTTGAAAGGACAGTTTACATCTTTCATATACTAAGGAGCAGAAAGAGGAGAAAACAAATAGCTGTTATGGACCTGCACGAATTAGGGAGGAGCACAGAACTGTTTTGTTAATAGTCACTTTCTCACAGACCTTACAGTTGTTAACAAGAAGCAACATTGTGAAATGTCCTGCTGCAGCATCCCATCTATCTCACACATCTGAGCACTCCAATCCACCAATAGCTCAAGTCTGCCATTTAGTGGCACCTGCTTTTTAATGAATGTTACTCATTGTCAGACAGCAACCAGAGAAACCAAAATGCCCCTTTATTTGCTATCTGTTCATGTTATGCAGTAAGTGGAGGCAAAAGAAAGGACAGAGAACAAACCACAGCAAAAATTTACCATCTAAAGCAGGAAGGAGGAATGATGCTACCTAAGGCTGTCACAATGTTGATATAAGAGGATTCTGGGGGCAGCAGAAGTCATTTTTCCCTTCACGGACTGTGTACAACAGGAGGGCAAAATGTGGCTTAGACACTGTCCTTCTGAATCCAGAACACAGGACTCAGCCAAAACTGCTACCAAGACTAACAAAATGTAGGATTCAGAAACATTCTGCTGTACCCCTTGGCTGGAAGGGGAGAAGTGCCCCATAGCCTCTACTTTGGCAGCACAGACGGAAAGGTCATCAGGGGCTGGAGAGCACCAGCAGGCAGGGACCTCCAGGCAGGCACACAGAGGAGAGTCTGGCCAAGCCAGGAAAGATACCACTGATACCACAACAGTGCCACCTGCCAGTAATTCTAACAGCATGTACATTTATGCATGTGATATTAAAACACTTTAGGCTCCTCCCTGCAAAGCACAAGCACTGTAACTCCAATCTTCCTGGGCAATGAGCAAAACACACAGTTCCAGGGTTAAAAAAAAAGTGAGATAAATGAGCAATGAGCATTACTGAGAAGCATTTCCAGCTCCTTGCAGGGCTGCGTTGAGAGAAAGCAAAGAGAAGCAAGAAGGAATGCTCAACAGCTTTGTGGTGACTTGGAATGCTCAATGAGCCTTCAGGAGATCACTCACTGCTTGCCACACCGAGTGCTTAGCAGAGGAAAACCATCTATCTGAAATAACAAGAGGTGACAAGATGAGCAGCCATAGCTTTCTTGAGCAGCTTTCTTGCACAGGCTTGCAATGCCTACAAACACTTTAGCCTAATCCATTTTCCTTTTGGTTCGTAAGAATCATTAATGTAGAAAAGCTGTTTATTTGTAGTCAATCTTCCTACTTCAAGAACTGAATCATATCAGGAAAAAAAAAATAAATCATTAGAATGGATACCCCACTACTACCAAACAAAGCCGAATGAAAACTGTACAAAAAGTTCTACCATCTTAACTCCTACAGTTTGGTTTTAATAATACATTTAAATTCCTAGAAATGCAGAAGTTCAGAGATGGGACAAACAGAGTCACTTACATTCCACAACTACAGCAGCTGTTAACCGTCATTTACATCATCATTCGGAATTGTGTTTGAAACAATGAAATACCTTTTCAAACGATTTGGGCCAGTCATCGCTGTGTATGTTTCTTAGGTTCCCTCGGTCTTCAATCTTGTAGTGTCTGATTTTCTGGTCTTCCAGCCAGACAATAAAATTTCTGAATTCTGTTTCATCTGTTGGGAGAAGTAAACAAAGAAAAATTTAACCAATACCTTAAAGGCAAGAACAAGCCCTTAAGTTTTGATCTGAGTCACAAAAATACTGATGCCCCAGAGCTCTTTCATATTTTACCATTAATATACACATATATATATACATCTAACACTGAAATCAAAACTGATCAAAACTCAACAATAATTGTTTCTTATTTTTCAAGCCCATTCTAACTGGCTATGACTGACTAACTACACTAAAGGGCATCAGCCAACACACTGTTTTTATTGGGAATGTAGTTATAACTTGAAGGAAAGGTGAAACAATGATAAATTCGGTTCCTAACACTGTTAGCTGGATACACGTTATATGTACCAGTAACACACCCCCCCCACACCCAGCTGAGGGAGCTTTCTGCGTGACTCCTGCCCCTTACATCACATAAACTAAGACTCGTCATAGGAGGAGACTAAGAACAGCAGCATCGTCTACCCCTGCATTGCAACTCTCCTTCCGCTCCACCCGCGAACAAGGATCAAAGACACCGAAACCGCGCACACCACGATAATGCCTGGGGTTCCCGGCTTTTCCGGCCTAAACTCGGTGCTTTTCCCTGATCGCTATGCTGCGGCTGAACTCTGCGCGCAGAGCGCTGCACTAAGGCTCGGAGCCCAGCAAACCCTCCCGGCCTTCACCTCCCTTCCTGGCTCCCCCTCCACGGGGGACACGGAGGCACCGCGGAGGTGAAGGCCGGAGGTTCCCCCCGCGTTGAGGCGAGGGGATACCAATAGGAAGAACGAGCGGCCCCAGCAATCCCCAGCCTCGGAGGGTGGCTCCGGGGCAGGGGGAGCCGGGTCCGTGGTGGCTTGAGGAGAGCGGGGGGAAAGGAGGGCTCGGGAGGAAGTCACGGCGCCCCTCACCCCTGCAGTTGAAGCCGGCCGGGTTGTGGTAGTCGAGCGCAGAGAGCTTGCGGCGGAACATGGCGGCACCAGCACCTCCGCTGCGCTGACAGCCGGGCCCCACCGCTCGCCGCGCTCAGGCCGGGCCCACAGGCCGCACGGGAAGGAACACCCTCTGCCGCGCTCTCTGCCTGCCCATTGGCCAGTGCGCCGAGCGGCAGCCTCTAAGACCAATCAGAGCGCAGAGGGTGCTGCCGGGAAGGGGAATTGGCGCTTCATCCAGCTTTATTGACACGACGGCAGGCGGACAGCGACAGGGGCGGGGCCTCGGCAGGGGGCGGGGCCTAGGGCGCGAGGGGTCTGGTGTGCAGGCGGCAATGGGCGGGTTTGTGGTGGCGGCTACGCTGAGAACGCGGGGGGATGCTGAGGTGTAACTGGAGAGCAGTGGGGAGCACTGGGCTGTACCGGGGAGCACTGGGTTGTACTAGGGAGTACTGGGCTGTACTGAGGAACACTGAGCTGTACTGAGGAGCACTGGGCTGTACCGGGGAGCACTGGGCTGTACTGGGGAGCACTGAGCTGTACTGGGAAGCACTGGGCTGTACTAGGGAGCACTGAGGTGTACCGGGGAACACTGGGCTGTACCGGGGAGCACTGGGCTGTACTGAGGAGTACTGGGCTGCACTAGGGAGTACTGGGTTGTACTGAGGAACACTGAGCTGTACTGAGGAGTACTGGGCAGCACTGGGCTGTACTAGGGAGCAGAGCTGTACTGAGGAGCAGTGGGGCACTGCACTGGCCAGTGCTGCACGTGGGGCTGGGGGCACGGGCGCTTGTCCGCAGATGCAGCGCTGAGCCATGCCTTGTAGCCCGCAGCAAGAGCTGTGCGGAATGCGGAGTCACAGGTTGGCCGTGTATGGGGGCTTTGAGGCTGTCCTTGGGAGGGTTGTGGTTCCTGGTCACTCTAACATGCCAGGGAGTCCCTCATGAAGTTCGGCAAGAGCAGAACTGACCTTTCAGGAGACAGAAAAGCCAACCCAGCAGAGAAGGGGTGCTTATTTTCTCTTCTTGGTGTGTTCTCTGGGGTTTAGAAACCCAGCCTTCCTCTATAGCTTTCAAACCATGCGTGAGTCATCCTTATTTCACACAGATCCTTCCCAGCCTGGAGCTGTCTCAGCAGCTCCAACATCCTCCTGGGGAGCAGCAAAAGGGGTTTCTGCACAAGGAAGGGCAGGAGGAGAGCCTGAACACCGCCCCCCCCCCCCCCCCCTTTGCCACTTCCATCTTGGAATTAAACCATTTTCCATGCGAATGCTGCTGCTGCAGTCTTTGCTCCCAGATATATTTCAGTCATCTCTTGGGGGGGTTGTGTGGTTTATGGCTAGGAGAAGTTTCTGCTCTGGTGGCATCTTGCAGAAGGCTCTGCACTAAGAGCCAGCCAGCAGGTGAAGGATCCCTGTTCAAGAGTGGTTTTGTGTGGAGATGGCAATGAGCCTGGGATGGGAATGAGACCACCCCCGTCCCTCATCCCTTCCAGGCTAGGGTGGCACTTCACAGACGTGGTGCTGACAGCGCGACGAGCCAATGCAATATTCATCCTGACATTTCTCTCCATGCCAGTCCTTCCCAGCGCTCCAGCTGGCAGTCGGCACAGCCACCAGTACTGCACTGCAGTGGCAGGGTGGCATGGCGCTGAGCCAAACTCTCACCATGGCTGCCCTGAGACCCAGGGGGAACCATGCAGGCTTCTGCCTCCCTTTAGGATCATTCCTCTCCCATTCATTGTATCTCCTCTGGCTTGTTCCTGGAGTGGTTTAACTGAGGGCAGGGGCTCCTCACAAAGAGTCAGCTCTGCCTCCTTCGGCTTTCACAGCCAGAGCCCATGAGCACCTTAGCGTGTCGCTGACACCTGCACAGAGGGTAACATACAAGTGAGCAGCAAAGGGACAAAGTCTCTACCATAGCTAAAAGGAGCTTGGGACTGTCCCTGGGGTGTGTGGCCATCTGAGGGCACGTGCCCTCAGCCACGTGAATGTCACATGTTGTCCATCCCAGCAAGGGTGACCAGCAATTGAGGTCATGAAACCTCTGAATAGGTGTGGGGGGACAAATACACAGGCAGTGCCAGCATGGTCCCATGCCTGCAGCAGGATGAGGCTCTCCAGCCTTCCTCCTCCTCCTCTCCTGCCTTCATCACCCTCAGGATAGCTCTTGCCCTTCCTAACCCATCCTGATTTTCCCCTCCCATGCTGCAAATATAATGTTCTTGCATCTAATGAATGCAATCAGTGCAAATGGGTTTATTCTCATTAACAAGCCCTATAGGGCCTGGTGCTGGCACTGGGGTAGGCAACAGAATGGTGTGCAGGGAGCAGCATCTCACTTCTGCTTTCCCTGGGTACTCCACACCTCCTCCAGCTCAGCAGATGCTGCTGGCTTGGCAGTGCTGCTGCTGCTCTGGAGCTGAAGCCTGGGGAGGTGAAGATGAAACAGAACAAGCCTTGGCAATGGAAGAGAGCCAGCAGGGTATGGCAGCAGCTGAACACTGCCTGGCTTGGCACACCAAGCAGCCGAGGTGTTGCAGGAGCAACAGTTTGCTCCTTCGCAGTGACACCAATGTTTTTTGCTTTAAAGCTGGCCTGATGGACACAGCAAGGGATGGGGAGCTGAGAGTCAAGCCTGCCAGAGCAGGAAAGTCAGGGCATGCTTCTTCCATCTTCCCAGGAGTGGGCAACATTGGCCACTTGCTGAAATGCAATTAACATGCATAGAAAAATTGAAATACCTACACAGCATCCACACTGAGCTCAATGGCGATGGGTTTCACTGAAAAACCCACACTGCCACCTTCCTCCTGGCCCAGAGATGACCTGAGGCTAAGCTGCCTCAAGCTGCGGCTGGCTGCCTAACTGGGAAATCGTTTGGCCAGGAGAACTCTTAAAAACCAGAGTGAAAATTCAGGACTTTAAATCTGGTAGCAGCAGAGCATCTTCCTGGAAGCACTGGGGAAATGAGGTGGGTGCAAGGGGGAACAAGGGGATGTTTTGCTGCAGCCTGGGTGCAACCCCTTTCCCACCCTCACACCGCAGCCAGGACAGGACTCGGATCCTCATAGTCTCCCTAGAACAGCCCCAAATGAGGCCATTCCTGCTCTGGGCTGGACCAAGCGGGCCAGATGTGGGTATGCTGGAGGTGACACTGGGTAGAGCCTGTACTCACTGCCAGGGATGGGAGAAGAAGGAAAGCAGAGGGAGAAGGTATGGACACCGAAGCTAGAGCTTTAGGTGTCTCTGTTTCTGAATGTGATTTTGAGCAATGTTGTACTCTGAACAAGCCTGATCCTCCCTGCGCTGGCTTATCCTGCATGAATGTGGCTTGTCAGTGGCTGAAACCCAGAGAGGCTTCCCTTTCCCTCACCAATGGGTACAAAGCTCCTGCCAAACCACACACCCTGTCGGGGTGACCCTCTAAACCCACTGGGAAGAGGATCGAGCCACAACCAGGATGGAAACCCACCTCCCCAGGGGCCGGCGCGCACAGAACATCATCTCCAAAGGCTTGAAACAAATCCAAAATTTTATTTCCAATGAGTACAGAGACCACATGGGATGGGGATGCGCTACATCACAGCGCCGACCTCCCTGCGCTGGCTTTCGGTTACCACCACCCCCTCCCCAAAAGCCTGGCAGCGGCAGGTTGGCACTGAAGGGACAGACTTGGCCCCGCCACCAGCAACCTTGGCAGAAAATAAAAGTCCTTTTCCAGTACTCCAGATATTTTTTGTTTAAAAGCCTGGGGGTAGAGTTGGATGTCATTTGAAACCATGCTGGAAATAACGGCATCGGGATGGAGAGATGGCTGGTATTTCTGTTGCGAGGGGGGAAACGATCTTGGCAGGCGATCTCTACTTGGCTAACAAAGGCGTATCTGTGCAAATATAAATACTGGGGTGAAATACCTGGCAGCACACCAATGTCAACACCACTACCAACGTGAAATAAAGACCAGCAAAGGAAAACACCTTCAATGAGTAGTTTAGGTTAATTTAACTCCCCACCTCCACACCCTTCATGCATCTTTATTTCTTCATTTATATATTAAGAATTCAAGTTGTAAAATACAGAAGTCATTAAAAAAATTATTACAAACCACTTCGTGACAGCATTGGAGAAGGGTTGGGGTGTGAGCCCCGGGTAAGACCGGCTGCGCTTCACTCTCTGTGACAGCAAATCAGCGTTAAAAACAAAAGACAAACCAGGGATGGGGTATTTACACATCTGCCTTGCAACATTAAGAGTGAAACCAGCTGCAGAACAAATGACTTCATCCATCCTTCATCCTAAAGCTACGTAAGCTGTAGTAAAAAGATCGAGGTTAGGGGGGGCTGAAAGCCACGGTGGGATGACTGGGACAATCTAGGCTACTCATGTCCTATAAATGTTCCCAGATGCCAAAAGTTTGGAGTCTAGTGTAAGAAAAACTGGTCTTCTCTGTGGAAGACTAGAAAAAGAGTATGAAAAGGTAGAAAAAACAAAAATGCACTTATTACGGGCTAGAAAGTTTCGCCGAAAGGTACATAAAGACTATTGCCCTCTTGGATCCACAGGGATTTTTAAGCTGATACCTGATTCAGAACTACAGTTTAGCCAGGTTACTGCAGACCCCCAACCCCCCTATGTGACACCCACCTAATTTTGTATGCAAATCCCCAAGTTCTGATTGCCAAAGTTCCCCAGGAGTGTAGATGAGCAAGGAGAGCCAGGAGCTGTTTATCAGTGGAAAGGAGAGACAAGCCACATCCGCTTGTATTAAATCCAAAGCAGATCCAAAGAAGGTGGCTTGTGTCCCCAGAACACTGCCGGCAGATGAACTGGACCTGGGAGTAATTCCCCAGCCTGACACAGAGCTCAGGCTGCGTGTAAACAAGGTATCAGGCACCTCCATGAAGGGGTGGCCCCATGCTCCCCATGCTGCTCCCCCATCTCTACCCATTGTAGTGGGGCAGCAGCGGTAGGTGTGGGAAGGGGCAGAAACATCCCGCTGTGGGGCAGCATCCCTCCATGGGGCAGCATCCCGATCCAGCCCCAGGGAGAGGAGATGCTGCTGAGAAGCCAAAAGAGCAGGACACGGACCAAGCGAGGAGGGCAGAGGCACAGAGGTGTAGGAA